TTATTCATATATTTGATGAATAAAAGGATGTATAAATTAAATAAATTCTAATGATAAAAATACATGAATTTACCTATACTATAATTATAATGATCAGATAGATTTTTTAATTATTTTAGGCCGTTGGTCATCTGTTTTTAACTACCATATGAGGTTAAGTCCTAATTGTATTTTTGTTTTTATAATTCACGAAGCAACTGACTGAATCAACAAGGAGAGATCTAGCCTACATAACCTTCTTCTTCTCGTTGTTTTGTATGGCTATAAGGTACTTCATCGACTCAGGTCTTTAAGAACATCCCCCAGGGTCAACCAGTACACCAGACGTCACCATAACAACGCACCTTCTGACCTGACGCCTCGCTACTGCCTACATCAGGTTAGGCCTACTGGAGATGTGTGGTTGCCAGCGGTGCATTCCATCTCAATACAACTACTCTTAAATCTCTATCTTTAAATACTCGTAAGTTAGATTTTTCTACTAATTCATAAATATTATTACTTACAAAAATTAATTTAGTTCGTAGATGTGAAAATGTACTTACGATCGAGTTACCTACTGAACTGGTTTGAGCAGATATCGATTCTAACTTCACTTTTGCTGTTCCTTCTAAGATAATATTTATTCTTAGTGATGTTTTAACTCCTAACTATACTAAATGTACTTGTTAACGGTAATTTAAACTCGCTGTTAACTTCCCTAGAGAGTAAAGACGTTATTTTAAACTTCATCTCATCGCTGCCAACCTAGCCGGGTCAACGGGTACAAGTATCGCTATAAGATTTATGTATTTTTTACTAAATATAAACTATGGTGAAAATTATGTGATGTATTAATCAATTTTAAGCATGGAAGGTGGATCGATTTATGGGTAATTAATTATATATGCATAGATAATGGATATTTTTTTAATATATAAGTAACGTGAGTTTGCTTTTCAGAGAGAGAAAATAACAATACGAGCGAACACTCAATCGAACGAGGATTCCTGTTAATGATTTCTGTTAATACTACATCCCAACGGTCCAATCTTTAGCGTAACTTCCTGTTAACTGACTCTACCGTTAACAGACACACCTGTTAACCGTTATAATTATCAATATATACTTTTTTTTCCAACGAATACCTGAATAAATTACTAGCGAGAGGATAATTTCTGTAGCGAGTTATATTTAGTGGATATAAGAAACGGATATTGTTGATGGATATTCCTTTCTAGCGAACAATTCTACTAGCGAGCACTCCCACTTACACACACACACACACACACACACACACACACACACACACACACACACTGGCACTTTCACACTTTCACACTCACACATGCACCTCACACACACACATTACTCGCCCACACACATGTCGTCGCCTCCCTCCTGTTCGCGTCTTTAAAGTTACCAGTATACCAGCAGTACCTTCTGACCTTTGACAACACCGAGGCCTTTGTTCTTCGTCAGGTGATATTCTACCTGCTGGGGGTGTGAGTCTACCTGCTTCCTGCTGGGGATGCTGATTCTTCCTCACTGCTGGGGTGTGATTCTTCCTGCTGCTGGGGGTGTGTGTGATTCTTCCTGCTGGGGGTGTGATTCTTCTTCCCTGCTGGGGGTGTGATTCTTCCTGCTGGGGTGTGATTCTTCCTGCTGGGGTGTGGGTGTTGTGATTCTTCCTGCTGGGGGTGTGATTCTTCCTGCTGGGGGTGTGATTCTTCCTGCTGGGGATTCTTCCTGCTGGGGGTGATTCTTCCTGCTGGGGGTGTGATTCTTGCTGGGGTGTGATTCTTCCTGCTGGGGGTGTGATTCTCCTGCTGGGGGTGTGATTCTTCCTGCTGGGGTCTACCCTGTGGTCTGATTCTATTCATCTGTACATACAGTTTGTGTTACCTCTCTCTCTCTCTCTCTCTCTCTCTCTCTCTCTCTCTCTCTCTCTCTCTCTCTCTCTCTCTCTCTCTCTCTCTCTCTCTCTCTTTCTCTCCTCTCTCTCTCTTCATTCTCCTTTCAGTAGTTATTGTTATCTCTCTGTTTCTCTCCCTTCCTTCCTCATTCTCATAATCTCTGTTATTCCCTCACTTACCATCTCTCTCTCCCTCTCCATTTCATTTCATTCACTGGTTGTGTATCCGGGAGGAGGCGAAGAAGAAGAAAAAGAAGAATAAGAATAAGAGGAAGTATTAACAAACAAGAAGATGAAGAAGGAAGAAAGAAGAATGAAGAAGAATATTAAGAATAAAGGAAGATGAGAAGAAAAGAAGAATGAAAAATAATAAATAATGAAGAAAGAAAAATAGTGAAGATTGAAGAAAAAATAACAAAGAATGAAAACAGAAAAGATAAAAGAAAGAAAACAAGAAAAAAGTGAAAAATAATAAAGAATGAAGAAGAAAGAAGAAAGAAGAAAGAGATGAGAGAAGGAGACTCAGTTCTCAACGATCCTTGTGACCCCTACCATCTGAAGGAGGCCTTATACACAACATAATCCTCTTCCTCCTCTCCCCTCCTCCTATCCCCTCCCTCCTCTCCCCTCCTACCTCCCTATCCCTCTCTCCCCCTCCTCTACCCCTTCTCCCTCTTCCCTCCTCTCCCCTCTACCTCCTAACCTCCTAACCCTCCTCCTCCCCTCTCCTACCCTCCCCTATCCTCTCTCCCCTCCTCCACCTTCTCCCCACCTCCTAACCCTCCTCCTCCTCCCTCCTACCTCCCCTATCCTCTCTCCCCTCCTCTACCCCTTCTCCCCCCCCACACCCCTTGACGTGAGATGGTCTGACTGGCTCACTCAGACACAATAATGGCAGCAGCAACAATGGCGACGTAATTACTCTGAGACTCTTTCGTAATCAGATATAAGACTCGCTTGTGTCTCCAATTACGAGGAAATATTAACTAAGAATCTCTTTTTTTTCTCTCTCTCTCTCTCTCTCTCTCTCTCTCTCTGTCTGTCTGTCTGTCTCATTATTTCTGTCTATCTCTCTGTCTCCTTCTCTGTCTGTCTGTCTGTCTGTCTCATCATTTCTGTTTGTCTGTTTGTCTGTTTGTGTCTCTTCATCTAGATACAATGAGAAAGAAAGAAAATATGATAAAAGAGGGAATGTGAAAGAAGGAGATGAAGGACGGAAAGATAAATTGAAGGTCAAAGGAGGAGAAGAGGAAAGAGGAGGATGGGAGGGGAGGAGGAGGAGGAGGAGGAAGAAGAGGGAAAGTTACTACTACTATTACTACTACTACTAAACAATAACAATAACAATAACAATAACAATAATAATAATAATAATAATAATAATAATAATAATAATAATAATAATAATTGCATTTATAATCAGCTAAAATTATATTCCTATCACAAGTTTAAGTATCTTGACTATATTGTGTTTATATCATTATAAGTTTTATAAGTAAAATATATGAAAAAAAAAAGATTAATTTCATTACTTAAAAATGTCTGATGTGCTAATTAGATAATACTGGATTAGATAGTTTCTTAAGTGTCTAGATTTAAGTAGTTAAGTGTACTACAGAAGACGTAATGTTTTCTTATAAGTGGAATGTCTGTAAGTACCATAATGTCTGATATGAATGTCTGAATGTAGGAAAAATAAATGTCTGAACCAGTTTTTAATGTTTTATACTTATATGGTCTTAATAATCAGTGACTTAGGTCAAATATCTGAAAAATATTATTAAAATATTTGGTATAATATCTGGAATGTCTAATGTCTTAATGCAGTGAGTTTATGGCTGAATGTTTATTTTTATATTTCTATTTTATATTCTGAGGACATTGTATAAAGGTGATGGTTACGGATACTGACTTCGTGACGTGGGTAGGATAACGTGTTAAGACCGTGAGGGAATGACGTGGCTTTAAAATATGGTCCAAGTGACGTAATAGTCTCTATAATGGCGTACTAGTATCTAAAGTGACGTTGTGGTGTCTGAAGTGACGTGGTTAAAGTGACGTAATAGTGTCTGAAGTGACGTGGTTAAAGTGACGTGGTTAAAGTGACGTAATAGTGTCTAAAGTGACGTGGTTAAAGTGACGTGGTTAAAGTGACGTAATAGTGTCTAAAGTGACGTGGTTAAAGTGACGTGGTTAAAGTGACGTAATAGTGTCTAAAGTGACGTAACAAAGTGATATGGTCATAGTTGATGTAATAAAGTGACGTAATGAAGCGACTTGGTGAAGGCGACGTAACAAAGCCACGTCATCATTATGTTGCAACAAAGTGACGTAGCTAAAGTCTGCTGGCGTGACGTTGTTTGGCTTCCAGGAATCATGTACGACCGACTACTCGATGTTGGGGGTAAAGGGGGAGGAGGAGGAGGGAGGGGTCGCTGAGGGGTGGAGGGAGGGGGTGGGTTGCGGCGTGGCTAGGAGGTGGTTGGTGAGGAGGATGGGGTGGGAGGGAAGGGAGTGTAGGGTCGGCGAAGCAGATGAATGAATGTCAAGGCAACACCAATGGTCTTTGACTCGGAGAGAGGGGGAAATTTTCACATTTCTCACTGTGGTCTTCACTCTGGGTGGAGCCTCTGGACACGCCCACCCCAGTTAGAAGAATGCTCTTCGGGGAGTCATTAATGGTGTGGGCATGGGAAAGTGAGCGATCACATAGGCGTGGGCGTGTCTGGGTGGTGGTGGAAATTCGGTGGTGCCAGAGGGGAGGACACACCACCGCCACTCTGCTCTGAATGACTCAAGCGTTCGGATGCGTCATACCTGACGTCGACGGTTAATTAAAATGGATTGATCTTATTCGTTGTCCTTTGACAGGTGTTGTGGGTGAAATTTTAAGGTTGGATTTAGTATAATAACAGAGCTAGAGTCTGTATTTAGGGCCAGGAGCGTTAAGGACCCAGTGTATAATTTTCAAAATAACAAATGGCGGAAATGGAAGTCGGTGAGCAGCCATGACGGAGGAGGTGATCAATAAAACACCCTTGCGTTGCCATGCCAACAATGACGTCACGGGCGGGACAGTCGATAGGGTGCTGTGAAAGTCGCGCTCAACTACACTATGTACCACAAATAGTGGACACGACTCATTAATACAAACACATAGTGATGAGGAGTGGTCAGCCGAGATTGTGGGCGACCCCGGGTTTGAGACAGTAGGACTACTCCGGCTCAGCCACGGCTGTTATATGGGGTTTTAAGGGCAGAAAGCTTCATCTAGCGGCGTGTGTCAACCCCACCAGCTGCACTAAGGAGGTTCCAGTGTCCAAAGCGGTCGAGAGTGGTTTGGTTGGCCAGGCGCGAAACGTTGCTAAGACAGGGGGGTTATTTCCGTCGCTCTCTCTCCACACCTTGCTAAAAAAATAATAACCCTGTTAAAAAAATAATAACCCAAAACAACTCCACTCCTCTGCACGTCTTCCCTTGGATATTTATCAAATATTTACGAATTAGGTTTAACCTCCCTTACTCCATCCCTCCCTCACTCAACAACCACCACCACCACTACCACCACCCCCACCACTTCCTCCTCGACGTCTCCACCAGCAGCGCTTACAGGACCGCACTATGGAGATCACACCGCCTTCTACTATGTGTCGACTATCCATCGCCATCCTGAACCTTGGTGTTAGTGTGTTGAGATACCCCAGTGGAGGAGAGTGGGCTAACTAACTAATTAGCTAACTACCTAAGGAATTATTCAAGAGGGGGTGACCAGAAGCTCCTCTTATTCCCGCTCCTATTCTTCTTTCTCTTATCAACCTCTTTGTGTGGTCGTCACCTCCAACACGTCCTCGTGACCTGACACTTGACACCCTTCCAACCCTCCAAGTCATAACAG